ATTCACGATCCGCCCTTGTATATATATATTACTGATATTAGCACTTTCCTTTGATCACTTGTCATTATGTGTACTACAGTACCGGGATGAGTTTACCATAACTCTCCAGATATTTGATCCATTAACAAGAGACTCTTTAACAAAGTAGTAAAAATGTTTAAACAACCATTGACTTGATATATTTGATAAACTGATTAAATCAAAATTGCAACTTAAACCAAAATTACAGTTTTTTTTCTCCAACTAATATATAATATAAAAAACAATGATACATATTATTTAATAAGTTATAAGGATATTTTTTTATATACAATTCTCTGAATTCCTTCAAGTTTGTTCTAACTTTAATATTCTTTCTATTATCTATGTTTTTTAAGTTTCGCAGGTGTCATTGGTCACCAAAACTTGGCAACCATTTTCCTAAAGGTAAAGAAATTTTTCTACTATCAACATTATTGCAAATCAATATTATTGCATGTTAATTTAAAGTACAGTTTCTCATTGATTTTAAATTTAATGGTTTAAGGCAATTGATTCGGTTATACATGTACAAAAAGAGACAAATCACTCTTTAAAAAACCATCTTAGACTGATGTTTAAGACAATTACGCAACTGACTTAAAAACCTTTTTCATCAAGAAATGCAATTAGGTAAATTAATTCCTTTTAAATAGTATAATTATTTTTACATAGATTAATTCATATTCAGACAACACATTTTCTTTACATTTCGAATTTTTAAAACTTTTTGATTTACTCTTGATATTCTACGTGTAAGAGTAGTAAACAAAATTAACTAACTGAATGAATGTTTTAACTTGTTTGTTAAAAAATTCCTTCCAACAACTTTGCAAAAGATAAACATTGTAAGATTTTGAATATAAAATGGTAAAATAGTATTATAAAAACTAACCAACAATTAATCAATAAACCAGTAAGATACAACTTAATATTATTTAATATAAGCTCTTGCATAAAATTCAATTACTTTAATCAACAAAATATAACAGATCATCAATGCATATTTTTTAAAATTGAAACATTTTATTTAGAATGTTTTCGCTTCATGTGCCTTTTTAAAGCGGAATTTCTGCAGAAATTAATGCCACATTGTTCACAGGAGTAAGGCTTTTCACCAGTATGTGAATAATAGTGCTCCTTAAGTTCACCAGATTGTGTAAATCGTCTATTGCATATCTCACACTCAAATGGCTTATCGCCAGTATGTATTCGAATATGAGTGGTTAAATTACTTTTACGTTTAAACCCTTTATTACAAACCTTACAGTAAAAGGATTTTTCTTCCGAATGCACAAGCAAATGTTCTTGCAATCCCCAACTTCTGGAAAAGCTCTTGTCACATAACGTGCATGTGTAAGGTTTCTTTCCAGTGTGCATAAATGAATGACGTTGCAACAACTCCTTTGAGTGGAAATTTTTATTGCACAATTCACAAACGTAAGGTTTCACATTAGAATGAGTGTAGGAGTGTTCTTTAAGACCACTTCTTTGTCCGAATCTTCGATTACAGACAGGGCAAATGAAAGGTTTTTCTCCAGTATGAGTACGATAATGATCTTTTAAGACACTACTTCTCTTAAACCCTTTATTACACATTTCACAGAAGTAAAGCAAATCTTCAGTGTGTAACAATGTATGTCTTCTTAAGTAAATCTGTAGTCTGAAACTTTTAGAGCACAATTCACATTTGTATGGTTTAGCTGAGTCATGAATACTTACATGTCTCCTAAGGTTAGATTGGTGTTTAAATCCTGAATCACAAATCTTGCAAATATAAGGTCTCACTTCAGCATGTACACGACAATGCCTAACAAACTCACTTTTGCGAACAAACGTTTTATGACAAATTTCACATGAAAATCTTTGCTGCAGCTTATTTTCTATATTTGTTTTACTTTCAATAATTACTTTTTTATCAGTGTGTGATTTGGCATGCAATTTTAGATGATGTTTTAAGCGAAAGTTCTTATTGCAAATTTTGCAACAGAACGGATACTTTTCTGCGTGAATTGCGATGTGACATCTTAGATTGCTTTTGTCCTTAAATTCTTTATTACACACTTCACAGCTGTAAATACTCTTATTATCCTCATTGTGTAATAAATAATGCCTGGTAAATGTATTTTTCTTTTCAAAATTTTTATGGCATATATCACAGTTAAATAATTTTTTCATTGAATCAATAGTTATTTCAGATTTATCACACTTTGCTAAGTTAGAATGATCATTAGTCATTGATATACAATCATATACTTTATTTTCCATACCACAAATGGTTTTTACATGATTTACAGGAGTTTTTAAAATAGATGTAACTTCAGAGTTATAAAAAATATCATCTTTCTCAAGTTTGACCCTATCAAAAGATGAACCAAAACTATTTTGTTCACAAAAAGGAGAAAAAGACGGAGCAATGATCAATTGTTTATTAGAATCGGTATGGATGGAATCTGAACTGGAACCGATAATAGCGGCCATAATTAAATTATCTGAATGATATATTTAGGAAAAGATGTATGTGATAATCGAATAGTGTAGTTTAAATTTCAAAAATAAACTAGAAAAATATTTCTGTCTCAAAGTTTAAGTGTTAAAAAACAAAATATTTGCGGTATAAATAAGAGAATAAGAAGAATCGCAGCACCGTGTATTAAACAGAAAGATAATTATAGCCATTTTTATAAAAATATTTGGCAGTACAACAAATTTTTATGGGATAAAAATATTACAGGATGATTAAAAAACATTCTTAAAGTGAAAAAAAATTAATAGTAATAATGAAACTAAATAAAAAGTTAAAAAACAGAACTATTTCTGAGTAGGAAATAATTGTTTGTTTATATTTACACCAACAGGGTCACTACAAAAACCCTGTTGCCAAACATTAACAACTAAAAAGTCGATGGAAAAATAGGATTTAGAAGGTCTCGAATCTTTGATATGAGAATTATTGACTAGTCAGTTAAGTAACATACCATTCAAGGCTAGGATTTATTTTGTGTTCATTTTATTTTTAGAACTCTCCATTCTTAAGAAATTGAATAAACTTTTCCAACGTTTTCCATGGTAATATACGTTTATTAGAACAAATTTACGATCAAAACAGAACAAACTTTTGCGACTGAATATTCAATTGTATCATTTTGTACTCTCACTAACAAACGTGGCTCTTCATTGTATTCCTAAACGTAAATATTTGTGTTCTTATGTCGTTTGGAATTTAATATTTTTACTAGGTGAAAAACTAAATATTTTTATTGCCTTAAATAATCAGTCTCACAATTCTGTATCTCTTAGTCTTCTGAATCTGTAATTATATGGTTGTTTTTAATAATAAAAAGAAACAATCTAGTTATTCGCTTATAAGAATTTAGTTTCGTTATTAGAATATGCTAATCTGAAAGTTATACTAAAATAATTTCCTTTGCATCTTTAAGTTATATATTTTTTATTTCAAAAAATGCATTGTTATTTATTTCATTGGATAGTACTTGAAAATAAATTATATGATTGTTAATTATTAATGACATAAGAAAAAACTCATTGATTTAAAACAGCGAACATAATTTGTAATGCATGCGTAAATTTAAAACATAAATGGGTAAAACTGCCATATTAATGTGTGTACTACATTTTATTACATGACAGTAGTAGTCATCAAAACTTTTTTGATAGTCATACTTTCGTAGAGAATTGTGACTGAATACTGTGCTAACATTTTCTTGTAATCATAAATGTTCCATGAGCACACCTTTAAGTGGAAATTTATGTTTAGAGGATATTTCAGTATCGTGATCTGTTGCTCCAACTACAATCGTCAAGGTGCCTAATAAATTTTGAACTTGCAAATTTTTATAAAAGAAGCATGTAGATGTTTGCCTGGGAGTGGCTAGGAGTCGTACCTTTCGAGTTGATTCCTTTCTGTGATGATTTTTTTTTTAGTTTCTCATGGGCCACTGCTCGGAAGTTGCAAAGGCTTGGCGATTGTTATGCAACGGATCAAGATACGGAATTCTCCCCCCTATTTCTAAGAAACTTATTCTGGTGCACTTTATGCCAAGGCGGCTCCTTTATAATTGCCCAATAAGCATGTTTTTTCTGCAATTTTACAAAGTAAAAGCATATTTTCCACTCTACATCTGAAAAGACTTAACATCAGGTGCTTATTAAAAAAGAAGGCATCCAGAAAACTGCTACTATGATGTTATGTTATCTTGACAGGGGAGTTTCTAATCGCTCATTTAAATTATCACTTTTTGCTACAATTTTGTGCCCATTTCATTGTAAATCCAAATTATTTTTCTAGTGTTTTTTCGGCAGTCTGCTCCATGCATTTTAACGAGATATTTTAAATCCGATATTTCAGTGCAATATAATTGCAACATGAGAAATTTGAAAAATGGAAGGAATCATGAAATTTTTAGCTGCTCATTGTTTGTAATCTAGTTTTAATTTTTTTGTAATATAGGTGATTTTTTTAGAAAAAAAAGAAAGCATTGTAATTAAAATTCATAAAACTTTTAGTAATTCAAGAAATAGAAAGAATATCTGAAGTATAATACTAAATAAATATTAAATCTTATTTTGTACTATAATGCTTTTATTTTAATTTTGGGTTTTTGTTTAAACCCTATGAATTTTCTTCAAAATATTTCATTTTAACATTCTGTAAGCATAACAGTTTTGTTTTCTTTTTTTGTTAGGATTTATTTTAAAAGGAACTTTTGTATTACGTTAGATGTTAGAAAAAAAGAACATTTATCACCCTAATATTTATATGTGTATTTTTTACATACAGTACAGAACCCGTTATCCGGAAAACCAAAAAACCGGAACGATATTCGATAAATTTTCCCGCCATTTTTTTAAAAAAAAATTATTTTTTTTTACTCATAAGATTTTAGGATTTTTCATTCATTTTTTGAAAGAGGTTTACCATACCATCATTTTGGAAATAATCATTAGTGTACTACTTCATCGTTTTTTCTTCTTTTTAAGATTATTTCTAAATATTTTTTTTTAGTTGGGTTTAACAGTAAAAAAACGGCTTTTTGTAGCGATTCAGAAAACCGGAAAAATCAGTTATCCGGAATAGCGATGGTCCTGGTCATTCCGGATAATCAGTTCCTACTGTATATATAAATTTTTGATAAAAAGGAAGAAAAAAATTTTTAAAAAGTATCAGTTTTTTCATTTTGAAATTAATTTTACTAATTAAGAGTATTTATTTTTCTGTAAATAAATTAAAATTAATTGATGAAAAAATATTTAATGCTTAGAACACTAATGTTTACATAAAAATTATCATATTTACCGTCAATATGTCTTAATACGCGTGTGGCCTTTCGTTACTCTACTTGCTGTGCAGGGTTGGCAAGTTTTTGACACATGACAATTTTTACCGGTTTATACCATGGTTTTTACTGTCATGTCAAAAACCCATAGTTTTGGTAAAACTGTATTTTTATTTGAGTTTAACTGCTTATAATTTAAATTAATCCATTTTTGGGCAATAAAATTAGAAAAAAAATTAGAATTATAAGATATTTAAGAACAGATTCTTGCATTTTCCTAACATGATTATATCAAAACATACTATTTGAAGTAAAATATTAGGATACTAAACAAAATTTCAAACATTTCCAAGCATCATTTTGTTTGGCATATTACATTACTGAAGAATGTCAAGTCATTCTTGACNGCATAACAGTTTTGTTTTCTTTTTTTGTTAGGATTTATTTTAAAAGGAACTTTCGTATTATGTTAGATGTTAGAAAAAAAGAGCATTTATCACCCTAATATTTATATGTATATTTTTTATATACAGTACAGAACCCGTTATCCGGAAAACCAAAAAACCGGAACGAAATTCGATAAATTTTCCTGCCATTTTTAAAAAAAAAAATATTTTCCTCATAAGATTTCAGGATTTTTCATTCTTTTTTTGCAAGATGTTTACCTTACCATCATTTTGGAAATAATCATTGGTGTACTACTTCATCGTTTTTTCTTCTTTCTAAGATTATTTCCAAATATTTTTTTTTTAGTTGGGTGTAACAAAAAAAAAACGGCTTTTTGTAGCGATTCAGAAAACAGGAAAAATCAGTTATCCGGAATAGTGATGGTCCCGGTCGTTCCGGATAATCGGTTCCTACTGTATATATAAATTTTTGATAAAAAGGAAAACAAAATTTTTTAAAAAGTATCAGTTTTTTCATTTTTGAATTTATTTTACTACTAATTAAGAGTATTTATTTTTCTGTAAATAAATTAAAATTAATTGATGAAAAAATATTTAATGCTTAGAACACTAATGTTTACATAAAAATTATCATATTTACTGTCAATATGTCTTAATACGCGTGTGGCCTTTCGTTACTCTACCTGCTGTGTAAATGGCTTTTCACTCAAAAAGGTTGTGCGCCCCTGATCTTATCATGAAAAACTTATAGTATTTCATCTAAAAGTTATTATATAGACAAAGTGTGGGAATGAAGCACTTTCTGATTTATAATGCTATTGAAAGTAAAAACATAACGCAAATTTCTTATATAGCATTAGTTCTACAACTGCAAAAGAGATCAAAGATTTTAAAATAGCAAATAATGCTTGCAAAATCATAATATTTTTTACCAGAAATATGTTAAGTTGGGATAAACTTATAGTAGTGATAATAAAGTATTTTTTTCGAAAAACAAGGAATATTTTTAAAATATGAATTTATAGTGCTTCAAATGTAAGTTTGGAAATACTTGACTGTTCTAATTATAACAAATGAATAAAGAAAACTTCAATGTTTAGGTTTCAAATTCCTCTTTTGTTTACATTTTGATTATCATTTTATTCTCATCATATTCTATCATATCATATACAGTAGAGCGCCGATTATCCGAACTGCTTGGGACCGAACGTGGTTCGGATAATGATAAGTTCGGATAATTGGAAAATTGTTTAAAATCTAGTTTAAATGATTATCATTTATGCACTAACTTCCCTTCTCACTTTTTCCAGGCGTAGGACTGGCAGTACTATCTAAAATATCTCTGGCGTGTTTAAAAGTATTTTTTTTAAAATATTTTTTATTTATTTTTTTCAACTTTTTTTTTCATTTTGAATTTTTTTATCATATTTCAGCATTTTATAAATTTTTTTGTCAGTTACTGATTTTACCACATTTTTCTTTATTTTCCATTGCAAAAGAAATCCAGCAAAGATTTTTGTTTCAAAGAAGATGCTCTTTTTAAAGCAGTCATATCCCTTATTCTTTTTAAATAAATCAACTGAACTGGATCAACATCATTTTGATGTTCTAGACTGTCAAAATGAAGTTCTTGGAAGATAATTTTCTGTTGAAGAGGGCTAAAGGAGTAGGGTAGGTTTAACTGTATAACAATACATGTATGTATGGCTACTATAAGAAAACTGCTAAAAAAAGGTTGTAAATTAAATATGGTCATCAAATGTAGTGGATAAAATTGTCAATAAGTTAAAAAGCTTTCTGAAATAAAAAAAATAAAAAATGAAATCGGGCATAGTTCGGATAATAAGGGTTCGGATAATCGGCGCTCTACTGTATATATAATTTTGAGGTTAACTGAACGAAAATGTTTTGATTTTCTTTGTCATGGATGAAATCACCCATGGACATGTGTAACAGATGCCTTGTCTTAAATTATTAGTGATAAGATCAGATCCATTTTAAGATAAAATTAAAGTAAACATTGAGCCAAAATGTCTGTTCTTTTTTTTTTTTTTTCCTCTTCATTTTTAAATTTCATATTTCTGTTATCATTAAGTTGCATGATTTTTCTATTAAAGAAACTAATATTAGTTTGCTATTGTAGCATTATGATGGAAGAATTAGGAGATGACACTAATGGAGATTCTACATTTGAATTCTTGGGAGGCAAAAATGATGAAAATCTTTTGAAAGAAGCTCAAGTTCCAGGTATGATCACAATTGCATTCTTTCCATTTATTTTCCATTTTATTCAATTCATATATGCTTGTATAACTAATATTATTTTATGTAAAATGATATCATTTTCATATAAAAAGATACAAGTTGTGATAATATTTAATGTTTTATTATATTAAATATTTTGAAAAGTGAATTTATAACATAGTATTAAAATATACTGATATAGAAATTAATATTTGTGATGTTTTTACCATCCCTATATTGCTTTTTCACATTATTTTTGTTTAGACCACATGAATCTTTTTTTAGAAAGATTGTTCTTTTTAGAATAAAAGGATAAAAAGTTCAAATTTTTCTATGATTACTAAATAGAATCATAATAATTAATTAGAAAAAGTTCTGTGTTGTAGGGGTGCACAACCTGCAGCCTACCGATAGTTGATGTGTGGCCTGCAAAAGCATCCAAATACGAAGTTTTTTTTTTTTTTTTTTAAATCTCAAAAAATTGCACATTTCAGTCATCACTTTATGAGCTTTATTTGCGTGAATTTAATCGTAAATCAGAATTATTTTTTTTTAAAGGTAGTTATTGCTACGCTTTTCCACATGATTTTGAAGATCTCATATTTTTACTACAATATTTTTACGATTTGCTCGTTTCGAATTGATATTTAAATAATCACTATTCGACGAGCTTTGTTTTTGCCAATTTTATCATAACTCAAGTTATTTTTCATTAATTTGTTAGCAGTTTTTGTGATGCATTCCCTTGTGGTTTTAAAAAGACTGATTTATTTATGACACGTGAATTTTAAATCAAGCGTTTAAATGTTGACTTATTTATGTACTTTATTCAAGCTAATTTCATCGTAAATGTAAGATTTTTCTTTTTTAAATTATTGCGATACTTTTCCATGTGATTTTGACAATTCTGTTATTTTAACTATAATCTTATTTACAAAACGCTAATTTTTTATTAATCCTTTTTTAATAATCGCTTTTTTGTACTATTTATTTGTGCATATTTTGTCATAAATGTAAGTTATTTTTACATCCCTTTTTTGGCAGTTAACGCCATGCATTTCTACATGGTATTTAGAATACCAATATTTTAATACAATGTTTTTGCAACCTGAAAAATTTAAAAACTAGAGGGAAAAAAATGCGCATTTTTCAACTGCTCACTGTACGTAATTAATTTTTTAAATTTTTAGTAGCTCAGGTCATTCTTTTTAAAGAAAAAAAACGAAAAAGAAAACGTTTCCTATATAAAATTTATAAAACCTCTAATTACTCAAGAAATGTAAATAGTATTGGAAATATATTATCAAATAAATTTTGAATCTTATTTAGTAATATAATAATTTAGTTTTAATTTTTGGTTTTTTTTCAAACCCCATAAAAAAAATTTTTTTAATTAAAATATTTATGTATTTTTTTTGCACTTTCATTCTATGAGGATTACAGTTTTTTTTTTTTTTTAATATAATTTATATTTTTACCCAAATATAAATATATATATATGAATGTATGTGTATATATATGTGTGTTTAGATACATGTATATATACGCACATACACCTTATAAACCTACTTGTATAACGTCTCATACAAGTCTTTCAATATTAATTCATAGATAAAAAATATATTCTTTTAATAATTTTAAGACATAGAAATCGTTCTTTTCCAAAGATCCCTAAAAATCATTTAATCTTCAAATCGTCTTAGAACACTAATGTTTGTATAAAAAATATCATACTTGCCACAAACATGACTGAATGTGCCTGTGGCCCTTTGTTAGTGAACCTGCTGTGCAAGTGGGCCTTCACTTTAAAAGGTTGTGCAGCCGTATATATGGAATAATCTTTTGATAAATGAGTTTTATGATTATGTGTGGTTAACTCAGGTGTATGATTATGTGTCGTAACTTAATATAGTAGTCACAACTTAAACATCATCTGTACTAATTATTTTGCATATTTAGGGTTAGATTATTATCTTTAAATTTGAGTTTTATTACACAAAAATATGATCATTTGATCAAAACTTACTCAGGGAGTTCACTATTTTATTTTATACATAGAACATACTTGTTTAAATTTTGCATTTATTAATACTGTGACTTTTTGATATAAATGTCACTTTTTTCTCATTGGGGAGAAAAATTCCTTTTATTTTCTGCCAGTTGATCGAGTTCTCATCCCTACTTTTATACAATTGTTGACCAAACGAAAAACTTTGCACTTAATATTCATTTTTTTATTTGATATTATTGGAGAGCTCATATCCTCTAAAGAAATCTTTTAATAGAATCAAAGAAATCTTTATATAGTGTATTTTTTATTTTAAATTATTGAAATGAAAATGTTATCATATTTATTATTATAGTATGAAAGTTTATAAGTATCACACACATATACATATAAAGATCATCGTGCTCATTAATTCAAATAGATAATATTCAAATCGATAATAACTAAGCAGTTACTAAATATATTTAATATTAAAAGCAAAAAACATAAATAAATCACAAAGCAATAGACAGGGATGAGATTTTTCCGCTTTTTAGCGGATTTCCGCTTTTTTCACTTTTATCTCTTGAATTTCAGCTTTTTTATCAAAAATTCAGATTTTCTAAAAAATTTCACTTTTTTTATAAGTATTCCGCTTTTTCAGAAAATTCACTGATTTTCAAAGAGAAACAGAAAATTCAAACTACATAGCTACCAATCCTTTCTGATTTTTACTTATTTTAGCTATTTTCTCCCCTTTTACTCGCAGCAGATAAGATTTTCTGAATTTTTTACCCGCCCTCCAGATAGATCCGATTTTCGTAGTTCAAACGACGCTGCTTCTGACAAGCCTTTTAGAGATCCCAAGCCTGGAATCTGCTAATATCTCGATTCTTATTTACACGATTTTAATATCAAACATAGCTTTTCATATTTGCTTGTTGCGATTCTTATTCACGTGATTTGAATATTGTACGTTGCGATTCTTATTTACGAGATTTAAAAATCCGATATTGTGATTCGTATTTACGCTTTTTTAAAAGCCTATATAGCGATTCGGATTCACGCAAGTTTAAAATTAATGTCTTGATTTGTTCATGCGGTTTATAATATGAAACATTGATTTCCGTATTTTACTTGATTTTAAAATAAGCCATTGGGATTCACATTCACGCATTCTAAAAATTATGCATCATATTTCTTATTTAAGCAATCAAAATATTACGCATCATGATTCGCATTTACGTGATCTAAAAATTATGAATCGTGATTTGTATTTACGTGTTTTAAAAATTCTATATCCCAGTTTGTATTTTCTCATTTTCAAAATCGTATATCTAGTTTCATATTCATGTGATTTCAAAATCCATAATTGTTATTCATATTCACGCTATTTTAAGATCAACTATCGCGATTCTTGTAATAAGTTAATTTTTTTTAAAATTAGTTACTACAAAGGTGACTGTTTTTCTAACGACGATTATTAGTTCTATATGTAAGTGTTACAACATCAGAGAAACTGGAGGGGAATATATTTATTCTGTGCTTGCAAAGAAGAAAAAATAGGATTCGTCACAAGATGTTTGAAGATGGACTAACGACTAAATATAGCAAACATAAAAGATATAGCAAACAAAAGCAATCACTTAAAAAGGGATTTAATTAAAAAAAAATTTTTGGGGAAAAAGAGTTAATTAACTCATCATCAAAATTTTATTTATAATTGCTGTTATTTATGCTATAAAATGCAAAATTCTTATCAAATAAAAAGCAATTATCTAAACAGTTGCTGATCGTCATGTAATTTTTCAAACTAAAATAGCAATTTTTGTATGTTAAGGCGTTACTATATATTTCTACCTCACTGTTATTGATATGTTTCAGAGGGCTCTAGTTAGATTAGACTATAATATGAACATAATGATTCGGTCCATTATTAAAGTTTTTTTTCTCCAATATATTTTAAAAAGTAATATTACTGATTTATTTGCTATAAATCACATAACAGTATTTATTAAAAGAAATGAAATATTAATGTATATTCTCAGCAGTTTTAATTTACTAAACCAGGTAGTTTTTCAAGTAATGATTGTCTCTCTTATGTGAACTGAGGAAAAATATATTTTCCAGTTTTATTTTTTCAATAGGTAATTTTTATTTTCACTAAATGTTAAGTATCAATGTAATCATTTATATAATAATAGATTAGTACACAACTGTATGTCAACAGATTATTTATTACCTTAAACTGTCTGGAATTTATTATTAAAGGGTTGCGCTTGCGTAAAATTTACTATCATGGAAATTCAGCTTTTTTGCCTTTTGGCTAATCTCATCCCTGAATAGAATTCTATTTTTAATCTAGTATTTATAAGTTTCTTAGGTGAAAAAAAAATGCCTACTTCCTTCATCTTTAAAAGGTCTTTTTCTTGCCATCTCAAACAATAAATCACAAATGAAAACACTATATCAGCTTTGATAAAATGGTATTTACTTGGAGTATGTTTATCTCCTCTGGTAAATTTATTAAATACGTTACTTTAAAATGTATTAAAAGCTTCTTATTTTTTAAGAGGTCAACAAAGAAATTACTGTTGCTACTCCTCTGACACCAGTTTCTGTACCTTCACCACCTCCAAGTACACCATACCAATCATCTGCTTCAGCTCCAGACCAGTCTAAGATACATTTTTATAATCCAACCAGCTCCCCTGAATATTTCTCAACTATACCTACTAACTCTTTGGCTCAGTCATCTGTACCATTAGCAGGCCCATTTGTAGAAACTCAAAATTGGTAATACTTTTATTGTTTATTTTTGCTCATAATCACTTAAATCTTTTTATTATCAGTATGATATTTGTTTACGTAAATTTATTTAATAATACGTATGAAAACTATTTACTGCCCCAATTTTAACTTTTAATACGAGTTAAAGAATTATGTATCTAAAAAGAAGAAGGCTAATACAGTAGGGAACCGATTATCCGGAACGATCGGGACCATCGCTATTCCGGATAACTGATCTTTCCGGTTTTCTGATTGGCTACAAAAAGCCGTTTTTTTATTGTTAAATCCAACAGGAAAAAAAATTTTTTTTGGAAATAATCTTAAAAAGAAGAAAAAACGATGGAGTAATACACTAATGATTATTTCCAAAATGATGGTAAGGTAAACATCTTTCAAAAAAGAAGGAAAAATCCTAAAATCTTATGAGGAAAAAAAAATTTTTTTTTTTAAATGGCGGGAAAATTTATCGAATTTCGTTCCGGTTTTTTGGTTTCCCGGTNGGCGTTTAAAATATCCGTTGATTCAAATAAAATAACAAAAGTGCAAAATTTAACCCAATGCAAATTAACACACGTTTTCCTTATCAGTCTTGCACTTCAAAAAAAGAAGTTCATTTTTTCCTGCACCTTTAGTTCATCAGGTAGCTGCAGTAAATTATTAATTAAGAACTCAACTTTAAAATTGCACCAAGAGGATTTAAAAAGTGTTTCTTTTTTTTTTCTTTTTGAATTATCCAAAAATGTAAAGATTTAGTAAAAGAAATAGAAAAGTTTATGTTGATAATCAAAGTATTAAAATAAAGCAGTAAAGGAAAACCAAATTAATTATAAAACATCATTCCTTTAATGCAAATACCAGATTTTTAATATTGCAAATTGATCAAAATGTTTAGTATGACTAAACTGTATCGAACTAAAATTAAAATCATAGTTTGAGTAATCGTTATTTGAAATTACTTAAACTGACTTGAAAATTCAGAAACTTTTTTAACATTGAGTAATGTGACTCTAAAGTTATAGAATTTTTATAACTTGAAAAAAAATGGACACTTTGCTGTAATTGAAGTTTAAGTAGCATAATATGATATGTTACCTGCTCATCAGCTGGTGATGAATAGACTTTTTATGATTAGGTATACCTTTTTTAGTTTATTGTTTGCTCATTTTAAAAGTAGTCTGATGTATGTTTACTGTTCCAAAAAATTTTCCTTGTTTTTTTCCCCTCATTTTTTTTAAAAGCATTTTCTTGATTTTTTCTTTGATGTATTACAAAGTATGCACTTTTAAATGTGACATTTTTAATCCCATGCTGAATTGTATGTGGTTATTATTTCATTTCCATTTACCAAATATGTATTTTTTCTGTCACAGGAACCAATATGCTGCAGCTGCAATTCCCCAACCCCCAATAAGTGTCTTAAATCCTAACTTATCACAATGTTCTATAGTATTACCAGGAGCAGAACAGGTTCCAAACACATTTGTTCCTGAAAGTCCTGGTGAAGCTAGTGCTGGCATGTGGGGTTGGATTAAAGGAAATCAACTACTAAATAGAGTTGCAGAAAAAGCTAAAGTAATCTTTTATTATCCTTTATTATTTTTAAAATTTTTATAAATCTTTCTTTTAAAAAAAAACTTTGAATTCAAAAGTATGTTTCCGCACTTATAGGAATTTCACACACTTATTGGAATCACAACTACTACAGATTTTCTGTAGTTTCTACTAATTTTATCTGTAGCTATGGAACTTTTAGAAAACTTATGATTATTATTCTTTTTGTATGATTTTTTTTTTTTTTTTTNCATTTAAAATTAGATTTCTTTTTTTTTTTTTTTTTTGTTTTATGATTTTTTTTTTGGTGAATCTTTATATTTTGTCACATCATTTTAAAATAATTTTTTATTACTTTAATGGTGCATGTTAGGGAGAAAATAAATTGATAATGATTTTATTAACTGTTAAAAAAAATTTAATTTGTTTCCCTCACTATTATTTAATCATTGTATATGCATTTACGAAATATACCAAACTTTTTTTGTTCTTTGATTAACTAGAATATATCATATAAAATAACAATATATTTTGTTATTGTGTTTCATTGTTCATCTGTAAACTGTCTGTAGTTTTAGTTAAAACATAAAAGAAAATATAGAACAATCTAAACAGATTTGCCTTATTGCTTAATTTCATAAAAACTATTCTACATTTTTGTGAAAAAACCAATAATTTCATCAAAAATATAATTTTACTGTAATAGTTGGAAAATGAAGAAAATATTCAACGAAAATTAGATTTTTAAATTTTAAATAAAAAAACTTAAACTTATCAGTATATTCAATGGGTTACAAATTATTTTATAACAGTTGTGAAAAGTTAGTTAATAAATTACTACCCATTACTCTTCAAAAATATAAGATATTTTAGAAATAGGTTATTCTAAGTACATCAAGTTTTTTTTATAAAGAACTACTTATTAAATTGAAATTGGACTTCTTATTAAATTGAAATTAAAGGATTCCAATTTTTATGACTATTCATTTTTATTATTTTAGTGTAAATGCCAATAATTGATGTTAAAATTGGTTTATATTTGCATCTGAAAACATTTTATAACAATACTCACCAAGAAGTATTCTAATAAAAAAAAGTTTTAGGGATGAACATTGTCTTCGGCTTTTTTTTGACTGTATTTTAATTTTATTTAATATGTAATGAAAAATATATATTTTAAGTATATTTAATAGCAAGAAGGTACTATTCCAATAGTACTTAGAGATAATGATTGTTTTTCAATTATCATTTCTGTCATAATCAATTAATTCTAGGATTCATGTAAAAGATATTTTATGTTTTAATGGATTCGTTTGGCTTCATTTTGTTTTTTTATTTTTATTTTAATAAGCTTTCTTTAAGGTTCTATGTTTCTAACTAAACTATTCCAATAAGTACTTAAAGATAGTTATTATTTTCCCTATATCATTTAACTGTTTTAATCAATTAATTTTAAGATTCATATAAAACATGTTTCTTATGGACTTGTTTGGTTTAAGTTTTTTAGTTAAAAATTGATTTGTAAAGCTAATTGTATCAGCTCCAAAACTTCGAATATTTAATGTAAATTATATTGTCAATGCTAGAATCATAATAAGTTATAAATAATTGCTTTGAGATACAATAATTGTTTCTCAAAGCTGATTGTTTTTAATGTCCTCTTATTTTTTTTAAATACATTTTTCTTTACAATTTATACACATTATTAATTTGATGTAGTTATTTTTTTTCCATAGTTTGAAAGGTTAGATTAAATTTCATATGCAAACTTAAGCAATAAATTATAAATGTATGTATTCTTTTTTTTTATGTTATTCCGATTTTTAAACAAAAATCTTAAAACGTACTCCGTACAAGTATTGCTTTTCAATTATATACTGCTATTTTACATAAATATATTTTATTAATTTTGTATTATTTTTATATTTAATATTATTTGCACAGTTCTTGTTTATTATATTTAAATAAACTAATTTCTTCTTCATTATTTAATCTGAAGCAATATTTGTGCCATTAATCTTTATGCAAATATAGTGAAGCTTGTATTACCATTTGAATTTAAAGAATATCAATTTAAATTATTCATCTTTAAAGTATATTTCAATATTACTGTGGAAAGAATTACAAAAAAAAATATTTTCATAGGATGGTTGTGGTAAAATAGGTTAGCAATAACGAAAGAGTACCAATGCATGTTGGCATCAATTCTCTCTGTGGAAGTGGTAGGATATGTTGTTATAAATGCAGTTTAGTTTGTTATGTTACACTTTATAACATTACAACTTAATAATCTTAACATGATATTAATTACATAATTGTAATTTTGATTAAAATTTACATATATTCTGATAAATTCAACTTTTTGTCAGTTAAATGTCCATATTTATCTAAATGTGTTTTGTTATACTTTTTTATCTTAGTTGAAGTAAATATAAAAACTCAATATTTTAACTAAAAAATTTTTGTTCTTTACTCATTATAAATCTCTGACACACCTATATTTAAACCACTGTCACTTGAATAAGTTGGATCTGATCAGGACCGCCTCGAAAGGAGGGGTTATTAGTTCAGGGAGCCTTGGGCACTCGTTTTGTGATATCACATATCACGATTCGTCTACATTTCTTCTTTTTATCTTTAGATTTTAGTAGTTTGAGTATTGTTGTACAGAGATTGCTTCATCATTGAATTATTATTGTGAAGGAGTTCAGAGAAATTCAGGAATTAACTTTTTATCTATCTGCATATTTATAATTCAAAATCTGGATCTTAAGCAGAGTAATAAAAATTAAATCTTAGTACGTTTAAATATTTCGAGGATAAAAAAATCAGATTTTTAAGCAAAACAAGTAACTTAATTTCTTTTTAAATATAAACATCAGTTAACCTCATAACTTGACTTGAAACAAATTATCAGTTTTTTTTTTTTTTTAATTTTTCTTCTTCCTAAATTACTTAAGAAGTTTTAAGCTATTTTCTAACTGCAGTATTAGATTATACAAATTATAGTTTAGTATTAAATGTACTAGAATTTAATTCTAATTAGACATAATATAAATTTTATACATTTTCTTCAGTTTCATTTGCATATTTAAATACCAAATATATAACCTCATAAAACTTAGTGCTAATGAAATTTTCATCCATAAAAAAAATTTTAAAGATCTGAATGTATAAAGAACTGGCAAGTTTATTTGATAAATGTTAATTTTAAAAACTTTCTTTTTTTGATTAATTAATTATGGTAAATATTTCTTCTACCCTTTATCTTTAATCTGAAAAAATAAAATTGTGATTTAGCTGAAATGTTGCATATCAGTAATTTAATTTCAAATTGTAGATTTAGTGCATACAAGTTAAACAACCTACTACACTTTTATGATTCAACTAAATCTTTATCGAATATATTGTTATTCACTAATGAAGTTATGAACCATTACAATACTTTCAGATAGGAAACTAGTCATGGAAATAATTTATCTTAGTTCTTTGCAATTTAATGTGAATTAATTTTTATAACTGATTGAAATTGTAAAAATATTTTGTGTTGTGCATTTAACAAAACAAAACTATAGCTTATCAATATTTTTATAAGATACAACCTCACCAAAAGCTTGAAAATTATTGGTGCAAATATTAAAATGCGCGCACATGCACACATGATGTGTGTTAGTTGTTACGCTTTAAGTTTAACAACCAAAATATAATTTGTTTTTCATTACCACTTATAAAATAAAATACATTTTAAGTGAATTTCAGATGAAATTGCTTAGCATTTTTTAGGAAAATTTCTAAATTCTGAAACTAGAACTCTTATCCTCATTATCCAAGATAATACAAATTAACAAAGCCACCATTGTTTTATTATGCAATATTTCTTTTTTACAAATCAATATTAGAAATTCATTTTTTAAAAAAAAAAACATATGAATGGAAATTATTTAAAATAAGAATGTACATTCTTTATCTCCCAGGTCATGAAGTAAAGTGACTTTTGACTATTTTATATATAATTATGATCAGAGCTGCAGATCATCAGTACCGAGGCCCCTTCTTCAACTATCAACTCCTCCTTTCGAGGCAGCCCTATTCTAATCCAATTTTAAAATATTTTACTAATGTTTAGTAAATACTTTTTCAAATGTAGTCAAATATTATTTTTTTAATTGTATGATGTTTATGGTTTAATGTATCTTTCTAGAGTTCTGTGGATTCAGTTATCACTACTCTTGATCCTGGAATGAAAGAAATTATAAGTATGTCCTCTTTTTTTCTCATTCAGGAAACAAAATTCTCTAAATTTTTTTAATATATATATCAGTGTTTTCATCATAGAAAAAAATGAGTGAGAATTTCTCACCCTTTCTCAAAAACAGGGTGAGATTTCAAAAAGTTAAGTGAGATTTCTAAAAACTAAAAAAAACACAAAAACTCTTGAAAAAAAAAATCATTTCTTTAATTCTAATAAATTTTTAACGTCTTCTATTTTTTAAAGCATTGAATATTTTTGGTGCATCATTATAAAAGATTTCGACTTTACTAGGAATTTGTCCATCTTACATTAGTACATAAAAAATGTGAGCGTCTTACATGAAGAAACCTTACCTACCGTAAACACGTGGTTGCAGAGAAATATGTTCTGAAAGGGGTTCCGTGGTTGTGTTCTGTTGTTCGAAAAGGTTCTGAACAATACTGGTAAATAGGGAAGCTAGATAACTTGGGGCAGATATTGAAGATAATGAAAGATCCAGGAAGGGAAGTGAAACGGATTTTATTCTAAATGGCGTAATTCGAAGCTTTTTCCAAAAGGCCAGAAATTCGCGAATTTCGAAATTGATTTATAGAATGCGCAAATTTCTCGTGGTAATCATTTCTTAATGCGAAAAAAGAAAAAAGTATGCGAGATTCTCGCGCTGTAGTGAAAACACTGATATATATAATCTGTGATCTTAAATCTAATTTCTTTAAACAATACTTTTGTTCCTTAGATTCTGGTGGTGACATAAATGTAATTGTTGCATCTGGTAATGAAGTTAAAATATCTGCTGTGAGGGAAGCATTCCAGAAAGTGTTTGGAAAAGCTACTGTGCAAGGTATTGCTGTACAATCCAGTAGTATTGCACCTCAACCAGTAGGATTTTCAGCTGGACTGAAAGCTGCTGAAGAAAGAATTAATAACATAAGACAACAAGGTTATTCAGATGGTAATAATGTTCTATTAGCGATTGAAAATTTCATTGTGGAGTTTACACCAGAAAAGTGAGTTACATTATTGTTATTTGGTTACACGATCAAACCCAGCGGTTTCAGGATTTACTGAACTTTTTAGTGGTCCCGTCCATACCCCCGTTTAGATAATGTTATTACAAAAGCTTATAGTGAACATCTGAGAAATCGGTAATTCGGTTATAGGGCATTCAAAGTTTATTTCACCTAATTTTTTTATCAGTCCTCCAACTTTGAACTTGCTGGTGTTGGTACTGCAAATTATAGCATCCCTCTACATTGTGTCGTATTTCACTCCTTTATGCTAATCGCCTTACCTTGAACAAGTTGTTAAATAGCACATTAAACGCATAGACTAATAAACTCTAAAGTTACAAAATAAATCTCTAAGTATATCTTGAAAAATTTAAAAAACTGAAAGTATCTCTTCTAGTGAATATCTGAAGTAATATCAGCAGTAACTATGCAGAATATGTTTTTTTTTTTTGTACAAGAAGTATGAATAAGAAAATTGATGAATTCTACTTAAAATCAAATTGTGTTCAATCAGAAATCATAATTTCTTTCATAAAATGTAAAATTAAAACCAATTTTTAACTAAGTAAGTAATAGTATTTTTCTCTTTAATTTTTGCTTTATTGTCTATTTAATTATTTAATATTTTTTAAATAAATCGCAATCTCTCTTTTCAATAATTCAACTATTATATGCTTAAAAATATTTTTCAAGAAATTTGGATTGAATGAATCACACACATTGTTTATAGTGGGCATATTACTGGGCCCGCTGAGGGTTCACTACAGCTGCGTTTGACTGTAATTTATTTTAATCCTTTAACTACCAAACACTGTTTCTCTTTTGGAGAACATGAGAAAATTGTTTTTTTATGCAAGAAAGCAAACAGGTTGTAAATATAACTAATGAGTTAGCTTTGTGAGGATTAATTTATTTATAATAGAGGGGAATATCATATGTAAAACAACTTAGCCAATATATGACATTTTGGAGTGAGCAAAATAAAAATTTATACATAGGCATGATAATCTATGTGCTTGAATGAAGTAATAAACAATTGCATAGCTCTCACTGTTACAGTGAAAAATATTGAAATTTCTAAATGACAACACCCACATTTTTGATCTAAGTGTTGTGCTTACCTTGAAAACTTAAAATGGAGTTCGAACAATATATTTCACTCAAAAAATTACAACAATAGGCCTTTTTTTAAGTAGCGCCATTTTTTGTGACCTCTGACAAGTATAGAGTTTGATTGAAAATTGAGAACTTAATGTTTTCTTTTTAAATAAGGAGCTAAGTGTTATGTATTAAGTAATACAGTCAGTCGTTGATAATAATTAAGTTGCAATATAACCAGTGATCTGATAATTATTATATTACTGCATTATTTAATATAAACCATTATCATTAATAATAAATATGACATAAGTGATATAATTCTCATTGGAAATAATTTTATAATATTGAAGAAGTTATAAATGTGTACTATTTATACACTGATTTTATAGCTTGTAGCATTTCTATAATATTTTATTTCTTCATTAATTTTTTTTGTAAAACAAAGGTTATTAATGAAACCAATTTTAAAAAAAGTATGATTCACTACAAAATAAAGAAAATTGTGATTGCCGCAAAGCGATCACAGGTTACCCATTGGAAAAAGATTGTTGTCTAATTATTTTTTTTTGGAAAGGAAACTTTTACTAATAATCCTGACATCTTTAACTGTTTATCCTGAACTGCTCGGTACACAATTTTGCAGACATATTTAAATGCAGCTCGGACACATTGTGTGTAAATTCTTTTGATGACTGAATAGACATTGAACAGCCAATGGAGATCAATATTAACATTTTCTGATTGGTACAATGGTGTTTGATGGAGAGTGTAAGCTGCATCATACACCTGTTTCGTATTCACGTTCATTCATGAAATATGATTTGAAAGCTAGGCTTTTTTTCAATTTTATATGAATAGTGAATGAATCATTTATATTGCCTGGAAGACAGTCTACGGTCTTGTGCAAATTAATGGGTAAGTTGACAATGGATCCTTTTATCCCTAACTGGTGATCAACACCCAGTTCTTGTATTTGCATGAAAGGGGTTTCGAGAGTCACCATTCGCTCTTAGGTAGGATTCAATTCTCTCAACCACTTTGGTACTTTTGTGAGGGATGGGCATCATGCTTGCGTTTGCGAACGGAGTCCTTTCATTTTTTCGTTTACGTGTAACGCTTAAGGTATTCCCATCTACGTTTTTTTGGCTTTTTTTGCCTCAGTAAGTTTAGGCCTTGGCATAATTTTTTTCTTACTTGAACACTAACTTTTGGGACTGTGTCAATCAGTTTGGACCCTCTTTATTTGTGATTCTTAAGTAAAACAATAAAGGCAAAAATATCATTTAAATGATGAAATTCTCTTTTATTCACAACTCAAGAAGTATTTATGGGATTTCTCTGGTCTCATATCTCAAAAATAAACTCACCAACTTAATGCATAACAAAATTAAAAGTGAAAAAAAGAATTATAAAAAAATTATCAAACAGCAGCGATCGCAGTAGCAACGACACTGTTTACTATTACTCTTGATTATTGTAGTTGAAAAGTGAGGATGCCATGAAATCCAAGCCAAGGCCCATTTTGCCAGTGGGTAAAAGTATTTGCTTTTTTACCAATTGATTTGTTAAAAATAAAATAAAAGTAATTTTTAAAAAAAAAAAAAAAACTAAAAAATTTTATTAAAAGTGTAAATAATTAATTTAATTGTTAGAGGAAAAAGAATAAGTGAAAAGTTGCATAATGCTTTGTTTTTTCTTTGTTTAAATATTTTAAAAAGTGTTGCATTATCTTCATTATCAACATCTTAAATTTTTTTCTGGCTGTGTAAAGAATGGTAGTTGTGGGATAGTTCTTTCACATTGTAATATGTATTTATTTTGAAGCAATGTATGTCACATAATTTGCTTACAACTATCATTAAATATTTATTACTTACTTATAGTTAAATAATTTAAAACTTCTTTAAATTTTTATGAATTTAAGATATGAAAAATAAAGTTAATGTGCAAATTTGTCTTTCTTGATTAAAAGAAAATAAATACTTAATTAACTCTAAACTATATATACCATCTTAATACACTCCCATGTCTTAATTCCATCTAGAACTCCTTAAAGATCATTACCTATGGTGAGTTATAAATAAAAATAAAGTAGTTTGAACATTTATGNATTTTTTTCTTACTTGAACACTAACTTTTGGGACTGTGTCAATCAGTTTGGACCCTCTTTATTTGTGATTTTTAAGTAAAACAATAAAGGCAAAAATATCATTTAAATGATGAAATTCTCTTTTATTCACAACTCAAGAAGCATTTATGGGATTTCTCTAGTCTCATATCTCAAAAATAAACTCACCAACTTAATGCATAACAAAATTAAAAGTGAAAAAAAGAATTATTAAAAAATTATCAAGCAACAGCGATCGCAATAGCAACGACACTGTTTACTATTACTCTTGATTATTGTAGTTGAAAAGTGAGGACGCCATGAAATCCAAGCCAAGGCCCATTTTGCCAGTGGGTAAAAGTATTTGCTTTTTTACCAATTGATTTGTTAAAAATAAAATAAGAGTAATTTTTTTTAAAAAAAGAAACTAGAAAATTGTATTAAAAGTGTAAATAAATAATTTAATTGTTAGAGGCAAAAAAATAAGTGAAAAGTTGCATAATGCTTTGTTTTTTCTTTGATTAAATATTTTAAAAAGTGTTACATTATCTTCATTATCAACATCTTAAATTTTTTTCTGGCTGTGTAAAGAATGGTAGTTGTGGGATAGTTCTTTCACATTGCAATATGTATTTATTTTGAAGCAATGTATGTCACATAATTTGCTTACGACTATCATTAAATATTTAAACTATATATACAGTAGGGAACCGATTATCCGGAACGATCGGGACCATCGCTATTCCGGATAACTGATTTTTCCAGTTTTCTGAATCGCTACAAAAAGACGTTTTTTTTATTGTTAAACCCAACTAAAAAAAAAACATTTGGTAATAATCTTAAAAAGAAGAAAAAACGTTGAAGTAATACACTAATGATTATTTCCAAAATGATTGTAAGGTCTAACAACATCTAACAAAAAAGCAAACATCTAAGCATCTAACATAAACATCTTTCAAAAAAGAAAGAAAAATCCTAAAATTTTATGAGGAAAAAAACAATTTTTTTTTAATGGCCGAAAAATGTATCGAATTTCGTTCCGGTTTTTTGGTTTTCTGGTTTTCTGAATTCCGGATAACGGGTTCCGTACTGTACCATCTTAATACACGCCCATGTCTTAATTCCATCTAGAACTCCTTAAAGATCATTACCTATGGTGAGTTATAAATAAAGATAATGTAGTTTGGACATTTATGTCACCTCATGATGCTTAGCTTAAGGTAGATTTAATGTGGCACAAAAATTTTTATGAACTTAATGCAACAATTTTCACACAAAAATTAATAAGGATATTACTCTAAAATTCATATGTTTTTTTTTTGTTTGTAAATTAAAATGATTCATAATCTGAAACAGAATTCAAAATTAAATTTCTTTGCAGGGAAATTTTTTTTTAATTTTATTCCTCACACCAATGTTATTCCTCAAACAAATCAGATGTCAGTGTGATAGATTTTGAGATATTGTCAAAAAACTTCTTTAACCCTAAACTGCTGAAAATGTTTTGGACTGTTTCGATACTAATTCAAATGTTTATAAAATTGGTGAGATAATATATTCTGCAACTGTGTAGTCAACACTACAAACTTTTTAAATATGTATTTATTATGTAATTTTCATGATATATTTTTTCAGTAAAAGCTATTTATTTACAGCTATTTGTAAGGTGTTCTTACATTGTTTGAACTCAATTTTCCAAACATTTTCTCAAAGCTTTGCAAAATTGTTTATTTCAGTTGAAAATGTTTAGCTTTAAGTTAGTAAAGAATATTTATTTAAAAGTGCTCTTCATTAACACTAAATAAAATTTGAATTATATTATATAACAAAGGAAACTTAGGCAGCAAACTCTGTGTTAGTGGAAAAGAAAAGAACCATTGTAGGGATTTATCTTATAATAAATGGTATGCAATGGGTATTTATTTCTTGTTTTATTTTTGAGAACTATATATATATATATATATATATATATAAAAATATTGTTTACATTTTAAGCGAAAAAATGTAAACAGCACAACATGGTAAAAATAAAAATGTGTCATGATGAAGGTTTGACTTCAAATAGTAAATTAAACAAATAAAAATTAATGGGTAAAACTATTGATTTTAGCAAAGTATGTATTGAATAAAAAAAATAATAAGTATAGTATTTTTAAGGATAAAAGTTAAAGGAAATGTGTAGCTTTAACTGATTACACTTAAAACATAGTAATTATTTATTTGCACAAGTGATAAAGAACTCAATTTCCAGATAGATTATAATAATTTTCCAATTAACCTACAAAACATCAAATAATTCAGTTTAGCCTGGTCTGAGAGTTATACATGTCTAGATTAAGTTTAAATAAAAATGTATTAAAAATTTTGAAAAAAACTTCTTTTTACTATCATTTATTAAATCGATGATCTTGAAGATAAAATGTAATAACCTACTTATAGAAATTTCTCTTCCCTTACCATAATTAATTGTATCAACAAGAACTTTCAATGTGTTCGAGTAATTCAAGTCTCTATCAGGTTATGTAATACAATATTGGTTCATTTTCCTAAAAAGTCTAGCATTTTTCATGTATGTGTGAGAACATAATGTATTAACCCCCGTAAACGAACAAAAAATTGGCTTATAATATTTTACCATTGCAATCTTTAATGATAACTAGGCTATGGTAATACAATACTGGATCATTTTCCTAAAAAGCCTTACACCTTTGCAGTATCTGTGGCAGGAAAATATATTTACCTGTAAACAGCAAAAATCTTTAATGATAAAGTAATTTAATGAAATTAATCATAGCGTAAAAAAAGCATAATTGTAACCGAATTCAGTGTATATTTTCCATGTAGAAATAATTGATTTAATTTACTTTCTTAGTTGGTTTGATATGGGCTGCCTGCTTTTACAAGATTCTAATTCTGGCATATCATTGCAAGTTTATACTGAAGCAATACCAATATCTAGTCTTTATGTTAATCAAGCAAAGGATCAAACACCTGCAGACTATCCCCTTGGTTGGTCAGGACATGCAATCACTGTTGGACAAATTATTGGTTCAGCTTTAGGAGTGCATCACTCTGAATGGCATGAAGCATTGACAGGTGTTTCTCGAAGAGAAATTCTTCTCCTAGCTGCAAAAAGTATAGCTGGCCTTTATAGAAAGCAACTCAGGAGATAACAAAATTTACAAAAAAAATTTCAATTAATTCTGGTGTTTTAAATGTATTAAAACATATGTATGTTTACTTGTACCAATTTTTTTTTCTTTGGTTTTATGATTAGGTTTTATTTTATGGTTCAAAGACAATATGTCTCATATTTTTAGATTTGTAGTTTGTATAATATGAAAGCTATTCAGCTGCTTTTTTTTTTTATTTATTCAAATGCGTATTTTCGCACACAAAATTGTTTTATTGCAATACAAGTGTAGTTATAAAGTATTTTTACTTGTTTTAAATTCTTGTTGTTGAATTTTATGCAGTATGATTGTATAATTAATATCTTACGAGGTATTGGAAAAATGTTGCATCTGTTTGGAAGACACTTGTTTCAAAACTTATTCTGCAGTTTTGTACTAAATATAATTTCTGATAGATTTTCGCTATACAGATACTATTTGTATCTTTATTTTCTCGCTCTCTTTTTCCTAGTTTTGCTTTTTTTTTCTTTGTTTTTTATATGTAAATAAAATTTTAAGAAAATAAAATGTTTTAAAATTTAATAAGTTCTGTTTTTTCTTTTGTGCATTAATAGGTGCTGAAGAAAACCATCAATGATAATTGTTAATAATTTTAGTAAAAGGTGTTAAGAGAATAATAGTCCAATATTAATGATTGATAAAATACGTATTGTAATTGGGATTGGTAATTGGAAAAAGAAAACTCCAGAAGCAGAATTTATGGAGTGAGTCTACAGTACTATTTTTCCTTATTCCAAATTTTCTTGCGCTTTCAGCATAAGCTAACAAATATTATTATTGTATAAATTCAGCTTAATCTAACATAAATGTAGTAAAATTTGAAATGTGAACTCTTAAAAAAATTATAGATAGAGACTAACTTGAATTTTACGCTATGTTACAAAACAAACTAAAAAACAGGACCAATCCCTATAAAGTTAAGCTTGTAATCAAGTAGCAGGGGAAAAGAAATTCTTCACTTTTTGTCTTTTGCCATATTCCTTTAATTCAGCTTTTTAATTTTAATTAGGTAAAATTTAGATTGTTTTAAAAAGGAATCTCAGCAATTTCCCCCATTTATTTGCTTTTTTAAAATGAAAAAGAAAATTCAGATGCTATAATACTCTGCAATGCCAGCTGCTGTAGAGATTGGTTTCTGCTGCCAGGGTTAAAACATTTAATTTTTGATGAAATATTATAAACCAGGTGAATAATTCAGTTTTGATTTGGTTTACAAAATCAGCTTTTCACTTGTTATTTATCAAAAAAATGAAGGAAAAACCAAATGTAAATAGCCTTCTTTAATCCAATCTAATTTTTAACTTAATCCACTTTAATCCAATTTTTAACATTGCTAGATTTAACTACTTGGAAAAATTGAAGCATCGAGTTTTACATGCTGTATAGTTTTCATATATAGTGGATGGAATTCTTATAACCTTTTTGAAAGCATGTCATATTACATTTAATTCAATCAAGCTAATTAAGTTAAATGAAAAACCCTGATTTGAAGCTGAGAGCTCAGAAAACTTTTGTTGCATGGAAGCTATGTACAGTTAACAAAAGAAAGGACCACCCTGAATAACTTTGGATCTAATGATGGGATTTTCACATTTTAGGACTCAATCTTGATGTCTTGAGGGTGTGACCTCAAATATGCGAATTAATAAGTGCAGAAGCTATTTTAAGTTAGAAAATCAGACACAAAAAAAGTACTTTTTCTGAATAAACATACCTTTTTTTCGACGAATTGATTTCTGACCTCCAAAATATAGAGGGTAGTCGCAATCAGGGAGATGCAGTTCCAAGTTTGGACTCCTTAATGTTTATGTTACTTTTTGTGTATTTCAATATATCTCGAGAACTTTTTAAGCTAATTAAAAAAAATTTACACTCAATTATAGAATTTGTTTATCCAAAGGTAAATCTATGCGAAAAATAACTTTTAGTGAATATTTATCATTTTATTTAAGAATGGTCGAATAAACTTTGAATTGTAAGGTAAATAATTTTTTGCATCATTTCAAAGAATGTAATTTTACATGGTAAAATGCAAGATGTGAGCGAAATCGGTTGAATAGCTCTTGATAAATCGAATTTTATTTCTCAGAAACTTTTTGACCGGTTTCACTCAAATATTGTATTTTACCATATGGTTTTTTTTAGTTTCAAGTGCAGAAACAACTTTTAAATTTCTTGAAACTTCATTGATATTTAAGATATTCAAATCGGACTTTTTTCATTAACTGCTAAATATCATTCACTACAAAATTAGGAAGGAAAAAAAATTTTCTACGCATGCGCAGTATGAACGAACTACTTTAATTACTCATATATTGCAAAGTTTTCAACAAATTTTTTTTCAAAAATAAAAACAATTTAATTAATTTTAAATTTTTTACATTTTATTGAATATTTTTAACAAAAAAGAAGTTTTAGCAAAGAAATATAAGACAAAAAAAAATTATAAAAATTTTCATATCTCCGTAAAAATTAATCTAGACTTATGAAATTTTATGCAATTATTGCATTTAATAACAAAAATAATTTCTGCAAGCTACAAATTTATTGCTACATTTTTTGGCGTTGGGTGTTCAAAAACACTATTTCACTCAAAGCTTAAAACGTCATTGATTGTTGTTAATTTACGTCGCACTAGAGCTGCACAATGGGCTATTGGCGACGGTCTGGGAAACATCCCGGAGGATGATCCGAAGACATGCCATCACAATTTTGATCCTCTGCAGAGGGGGTGGCGCCTCAACTTCGGTAGCCCGACGACCTGCACGCGAAGTTGAGCACTTTACGGTAGCACAGTTTAACGAGGACCAATACCGCACACCCTCGGTCCCTAATATCTTGCATGCTATTCTCCCAACTAACTCCAGGTATTTTTTTTCTGTAATATGCAGCATAAATGTTTTTAACTTAACTAATATACATTTTTGGATAATATTTTGATAAAATAAGCAGATTTAAAATAGCCCATGTATTTTTAAATATCGAAAAGCACTGATGCGCTAATATCTTTTAGAATTTCGAGAAAAAAAATGCGAAAATAAAGGACTATTTATTAGTATTTCCTTTTGTCCATTAAAACTCTTGTCCTTGGAAGCTATTTGTCATTAATTACATGTTGGACTTGCAGCTAAAAATCCCTTCTGGGGAATAATCATGCTATTTATCAATGCTTTTACGAAAACAAATAAGGTCTATTTCTATCTATTTTCCCTTGAGTGTTAGGGATCACACCTGAATACTTCCCTCACAAATCGTTAACAGCGGAGATAATTACACTCGCCTTTTCCCGTATCATCGACGTACTCCTGATTTTATCACTGACCGGAAAAAGCGGGATTTCTACCCCTGTTACTTTCCCTCTCAACTCTGACAACTAATGCTTGTTAATGTCGTTGTTTAGGGCGGCATTCGGAACAGGGGTGCTATTCATCTATCGGCACTAATTACCGGAATGTGAAAACAACCGGGTACACTGAGTTCTGCCCCCTCTCAACCCCTCTTGTATCCCCCTTTTCCAATCGAAGCTGATAGTTTGGGCGAATGGACGATGTTAATTATAGTGTTGGAGCTGTAGGGCTTTCCTGTGAGTGTGAAAATTTATATTTTCCCTACCTTTGACAATAAACAATTTAGTGGGTGTGTAACCAACTGTGGTGGCTTTGATGGACGACAAGACAACATATTTATTATATTAGCTATCTAAGAAAAGAAATAAGTAAAGAATAAAATGGTAATTATTATTTGTAGCAAATGTCCTTTGGAAATATCTATGCGATTTTGTAACATTAGGTTGTCTTAAAATCAATTTGTCGACACAGGGAAATTAAAATTTAAATAGTTTCTGTTATATAATTTGAGAATACATTTTCTGTTCTTTACAAAACAAATAACTTATTAAAACAAAATAAGCATTATTTAAACTTATTTAAATAATGCTTATTTGCTATTATTACATACTATATAAGTTGGCTGTAAATAGATTTTTTTCATTGTGCATGGAAACATTAATAGAACCCATTAAAAAGAGCAATATTTACAATGGAATATAGTTGTATTCCAATGTGAAAGGTAGGAAAAGTACACACGTGACTGCTTGGCTTCCTCGCTCACCGGACTTTAACACTCTGGATACTTTCTTCTTAGGGCATGCGAAACCTTGAATGTATGAGATGCCTCTGGACGAGACAAAGCACCGCCACAGAAAAAAATAGCACAACAGTAGGATCTAGTTACTGGGCTACAATATGCTTAGCAATCACTTTGATCAATTGTTAGTTTTACTCAAACCAATAAATCAGACTTTGAAATTTTTGGAATAATTAATTTACATTCATTCATTACATTTACTATTATAACTCCTTGTTTAAATTTAATATTACTCTTTTCGGAGTAGCTTTTGGCCCTATGTGTTATGGGAGTTATTACTCATTTGCACGGGTAATATTGCCCCCTTTATTTTGTAAATGCAATGTAGAATTACCTTGTTCAGTGCGCAAAGAAAATAAAACGACCACCCTGAATAACTTTTAATCTAATGATCGGATCTTTACGCTCTAGTCAACCTTATTGGTTTGTATGCTAAAAAGCACGTTAATTCATCAGTGCAGACGATGTTTTTAGTTACGGAATTAGACACAAAAACGTACTTTCTCTGCATAAACATACCTTTTTGTAGACGAATTCAGATTTTTGTCTCCCAAAATATCCATGGTAGCGAGAATCTGTCGAATATGGCCAAAATAGCTGTCAGGAGAGTGACCTCTTAATGTTAATTTTTCCCTTTTGCGTATTTCGCTAAATCGCGAGAATTTTTCAAGAGGAGTGAAACAATTTTGCACACAATTATAAAATTCATTTATCCAAAAATAACTCCATGCTAAAAATACATTTTATAAGTATTTATTATTTTTTATTATTCTATTTACTAAAAATTTTATTTGTGAGGTGTAAAAAATTTTCCGTCATTTTAAAGTATCTAACTTTTCATGCAAAATGCAAAGTTTGAACGAAATCAGTCAAATAATTTCTGAAAAATCAAATTTTAAGAAAGTCGCATGTTTAAAATTTGATTTCGCAGGAACTATTCAGCCGATTTCTCAGAAAATTCGTTTTTGCGTCTGATTTCGTAATTCGAAACAAAGTCTGCANTATTTTTTTCTGTTAATGTACAAATATTTTTCCGATGTGTTTTGGATATTCCTTCTCTAATAAAAAGAGATACCATTTTGTTTTCGGTTGTACAAGAAAGAAGATCAAGCATTTTTCTTTTTTAAATTTAATAAGCCACATTAAAGAAGGAACGTTGCAATGCTACACGCTACATTAACGACGTCTCCAGAGTAACTGAATGACGGTTCATATAGAAATCGCAGGTATGCGTCTCATACAACAACGCCCCCTATAGTTCGTTGCGATCGCGATATTTTGTCCACCCCCTGTAAATGTGTTTTTTTGCCTAATATTTTGAAAAAATTTAATTCTGCTGGGACCAATAGCGTCATCCGGCAACTGAAATGCAATCGCTAGTGTGATATACGCGCGAGTGAGCATTCTTTCAAAGCTGAACTAGATCCGTTACTTAAACCACGGTTCCTCAAATAAAAAAATTTTTCAAATCATTCAAATGTCGGGCAAAAATAAACAAATGTAATCGTTCTCAAGTAAACAAATATCTCGCCGCACTTAACTATACTCAATACTAAACAAATATCATCGCTAAGTGTTCATAGTCGATCTTTCAGGCTAAAGGTTTTCAATATATTATACACTTTCAGCAGTATGGCTTCTCTTCGTATCTTTATGAGAAAAGAAATCAGATTTCATAATATTTGGTGCCCAATAATGTCGAACGTTCGAAGTGTACTATATCCTTCTACTCATCTCGATCCCATTCCTAATCGTGAGTATTTAGATCAGCTGGAAGAGGAAGGTAAGTTGGATGCCCTGAAAGTTATGCCTGTTAAGCCAGCTCCATCAACTATGACCAATTCATTGTATGATGATCCAGAATTCAACTACTTTACAAGTCTACTTATGAAGTGGAGTCAAAGATCTCTCGCTCGGAACTTGATGTACGAAGTTTTTGCCAGAATTAAACGCATACAACTGGGGAAATATCATGCCGCTACCGAGGAAGAAAGATCTAGCATTGAGTTAGATCCAAAGAAAATATTTTATTCCGCTATTCACAATTGCAAGCCAGTTTTAACAGTTACACCAGTAAAAAAGGGTGGTATTACTTATCAAGTACCTGTCCCTGTGTCTACCAAACATTCTAAATATATGGCAATGAAATGGCTTATAGCGGCAGGTAGAGACAAAGAAGGACCAACTCATTTTGTGGAACAAATGACTAAAGAGCTTCTAGATGCTTTTTATAATGAGGGCAGAGTTGTTAAAAGAAAACATGATTTGCACAAACTTTGTGAGAATAACAAGGCTTATGCTCATTATCGGTGGTCATAAATTTTGATTAATCCACATCTATGTTAGCTACTCTCAAATCAAAAGAAAATTGTTATGCATTGAATAGGTGGTATTAAAATGGTATCCATTTTAAAATTGTAGTGTTAACAATAAATTTTGTATTGTAAAATAAGTTCAGTTTTTTGCATTTAAAAATATTCATCTCTCAGACTAAGAAAACTATATTTTTTATTTCTGAGTTTAAAATAATTGTTATATAAGATTTTAAAAAAGGCATAAAATTGAGACAATAATGTTAGAAACTAGTGAGCAAATATTTCATTATTATAAAATTCACTTTTCATGTCAAATGAAAATGCCCAGTTTTTGCTTTTGGACTAAATTATAAATATATAATGGCTTAGATGGAGGTTGGTGACCTTTTCTATATTGGCAATCGCAACACTTGAATACACCATCTGGGGAGAGACCGATTTCATGCCTTTGGCCCTTCCCTCTCATAGGGATCGTAAATATCATGATATTTTCAAAAATATCCAATATTTTGATATATATTCAAATTTTAGTTTTATATTTAGTATCTTCAATAGAAATTAACTTTTTTGTTGAGAATTGTTTTTCAGACATTATATACAAATTTAAAACATAAAATAATGCATTTTATATAAATTCTAAATTCCTAATGTTAATTGTAATTAATAAATTTATAATTTTTATAAAATAAAACGTTAGAAATTTTTTTTAAAATGAGAAAGGTTCTCTGAAACAAAATCTTTTGCCATCACCAAAATACAAGACATTTTTATTTTACTTTTACTAAGTTTTGAAACGCATTTTTTCTTTATTTCTTGTTAAAATATTTGAACATAAAAGTAAGTTTTTTTGCCTTTTCAGTCCCTAATCTATTCTGCAACTTGGACTGAATAAATCCAAAGCTAGAGAATATTCTCTCTAACCCAGCTGTGGAAGGAGAGGCAGTTAGTAGTTGTTCAAGAAGATTTGTTATTCTGACTTTTAATGGTTCCTCTAACTTGATAGTTTCCCACCAAACTGTGGGTTCCACATTGAGAAAGTCATCTTCGAACTTGAAGCCTGAAAAAGGGCTCTTTTTGGCCAAAAAATTCATAGCCATAGGTAAAATATCTTTGTCAACAGAGCGTAGGAAATTAAAAGCTCTTTGCGTTTGCTCGTCATTTAGTTTTTTTCCACAATATCTGTGGTCTAACATATTAGCAGCTAAATGAGCAGGGGTTAAAGCCATTACTTCTCTTTCTGAGAACTCTTTCATCACGTCTTTTTTTCCNGTTACAAATAAGTGTAACTTTTTAGCACAGCAAAAGGAAAAGGGGGCCGAATGTTGGGGAAAATGTAAACAAATAGAAATGTAAACAGTATTTTCCTCTTGGCTGTGTCACTTCCTGTGGGAAGTTGGGTCACTTCCTAGGGGAAGTTGGGTCACTTCCTGTTATCTCAGCTAGAAGGAAGTGGGTGTTTCTGGTTTTAGTTAGTTATATCTTTGCTTTGGTTAGAGGATGTTTCTTCTCTTATGTTATGTTTAGAAAGAGCTATGTGATGTTAAAGAGTTATGTTTAGTTTATTTGAATGTAGTTTTTCTTACTTTATATTTAAAGATTTATATTCAATAAATATAGTTGTACCTTTTCCATGAAGTGAATTTTTGAGTAGTAATAGATGTCTTCAATATATTATACTTAGTAAGCTGGCTCCTATTTTTCAACAAATATGAACAATGCGCATGCGCAAGTTTTTCTTTCAACGAATCAGCGACATTCAAGAACTTGGATAGTGTCAACGAATCATCCAATTTCTTGGACAGAGAAATCCGTCCAATTTCTCAGATTCAAGAAATTGGATCGTCTAAACAGGCCTTAAAGCATTTGCAATCGGTTCTAAAATGCTTATATAATCCGAGCAATTTACCATTAAATTTACATCATTTACTAAATTGAAGATGTTTTTATCAATTTTAAGTTTGTTGTCTTGGCAAACTTGCACCAATTTTCCTTTGTTTTCTAAAAAGGTCTTTAAAGAATCGAACATAGTGTTCCACCTGACTGCCTGAGGAACAACTAGCATTTTCCCTCCATTTTTTCTGTACCAAGCATTTGGCAAATGAGTGTACTTAAAATATTTTATCACTTCAACACCAGGAAAATTTATATCTTTGGCTAAAAGATTTAAGATATGAGTGGAACAACCATAATATATANATTTGGCAAATGAGTGTACTTAAAATATTTTATCACTTTAATAACATTTTTCGTAACACCAGGAAAATTTATATCTTTGGCTAAAAGATTTAAGATATGAGTGGAACAACCATAATATATAATATCATAATTCTCAGTTTTATCTAGCTCTTCTCTCATTTTTTTCATGTTACTAGCACTGTCTGTCACAAAGCTTCGTATGTTTACGTTGAACTTTTCTTTGCAATCAGAGATGGCTTGTTTTGCTAGAGTGCGAAGATAATCTGCAGTGTGAGACTGCTCTGACGTGTCGTTAAGGAATTCCTTGCATTTCTTTTTGGCACACCTTACAAACTGCCCATTTGCTGCTATTTCCATCTTTTGTTTTGCACAAAAAGTGGTTCCACATAGAATCTTTTATCCTTGGCATGATTCATTTTTAAATCTTCTTTAGTTCAAAAATTTATGACAAAATTATTTAAAGAAAGTTACAAGAAAAGGTTGAATAATATCTAAAAAATACCTTTGCACACAGTAAAATTTCCCAAATACTGGCAACTATAACTCTACACTTAACTAATAAGATTGGTTAGATCCAGTTTGACAACTTGCTTATCTACCTTGACCACTTACTCATCATAGGAGGGGTTTATTTCCTTCTTTAAAAGTGGGGGAATGAGAACAGGTTCAGTCTAAGAATGAATTTTTCTAGGTAGGTAGAGGGTAAGTGAAAACAGGTGCAATCTAAAACAAGATTTTTGTAGGAAGTAAAGATAGTGTGAATGGTAGCATGAGGTTGAGTAGTTATTAAGAGAAATCTTGAAATAATGTGGGAGATATTTGTAGAAATTTTGCTGAAAATATCATATTTATTTCAAAATAAATATCGGATATATATCAACGAACCCTGCCCTCTCCTCCTCTTTGCAGTTGTATAGGAATGTACTGTGATATTTTCCCTTTTTATGTAATAAAAAATTATTTTTTTTAAAATTTCCATACTTTCCTTTAGAACTATGTTTAATGTAGTTTTCAGTTCCATATAGTTTTCCAACTTAAAAGATTTTAATCTATATGAAAATCAAGAGAGAATCTAATGTACTTCCTTCCTCTATGACTCTCCACACGCTAATGGGGAAAGCATGTGAAGTGTTGCCATAGGTAGAGAATTCTGCTGTACGCCATCTGCTGTCCATTTCGATCGCCAATACTCATTTTTTTCTTGTGAGCCTCAACTGGGCTATAGTCAAAATTTTGTTATTTTGAGTTAGTTTCAGAAATCTTCCTGCTTATCAATTACAAGAAATTAGCTTATTTTTTTAGAATTAAAACTAACTTCTTTTTAACCTTTCAGCATGCAGGCTCAGAAATTTTACAGATTGTGCATGTCATATTTTTTATGACAGCTATTATTTTACTGTTTTGACACAGAAAATGGCAGATAGGAAGATATTATTAATAAAATTGCTAAGCGATAAAAAATTAACCTTATTGTTTCAAATTATAAATGATGTCACACTTAAATGGAAGAAAATTATTTTCAAATGCTTATAGTCAGGGAGAAAAGCAACCCTGTATTTTATTATCGATGATTTAAAATTTATTAGTTAATAACTATGTTTTAAAATTATAAAGTCAGAAAAACAATTCTAGCAGAAAACAAAAATTATAAAAATTTAAGATGTGTGTTGGCAGGACAGCACTTCATCAGGGGACACACTGCGTGCTAACACACATGAGCCTTTCTGTTGTCAGTGTTGAAACCAAAAACTGACAGTGCCCCGAGGCCCCATAATGGAAAATCAAATAAGAAAAGGCAATTAGAAAAATTTAAATTTAAATGCGAAGAAAAATAATGAATGCATAATAAAATATTAAGAAACCTAAAAACGAACCATTACGGGAACAGGATCAAAAACTCCATGAAATATCCATATCATGAATTATATAAAATTATACAATAATTTTCAGAATGAAACTAATTTACAAATTGCTATGAAATTCTGTATGGTTTTAAAAATCCCAATATTTTTAATATGCACAAATTTCAAATTGGAGTAATAATTTTTGACTCGGAATTATTTTTGCCGATTTTATTATAATATATAACTAGTGNGAAACTAATTTACAAATTGCTATGAAATTCTGTATGGTTTTAAAAATCCCAATATTTTTAATATGCACAAATTTCAAATTAGAGTAATAATTTTTGCCGATTTTATTATAATATATTACTAGAGTTTTTTTTTGACAACTACCTATTTCCTTGTTGTTTTTAAAATCCCGATATATTTATTACAATATTACGAATCACAAGCTATAAAAAGTTTTTTTTTTTTTTTGACAACTACCAATTTCCTTGTTGTTTTTAAAATCCCGATATATTTATTACAATATTACGAATCACAAGCTATAAAATGCGCATTTAATTAATCACTTTTTGACGTGCTTTATTTTTGCAAGCGATTTTGAAATTCTTGTATTTTCACAATGATTTTGTTAAGGCTCACTAGTTTAAAATCCCACATTTAAATAATCACTTTCTGAAGTGCTTTGTCTTTGCCGATTTAATCGTAAATCCACTCAATTTTTCATAGCTTTTGTAGTGCATTCCCACATGGTTTTAAAATTGGATTTTATTATTAGGAATTTTAAATTACGCATTTAGATAATTATTTAAGGAAGCACCTTAATAATTGTAAATGTAAGCAATTTTTTCCCGTTGTTTTAACTGTTATTATGAAATCAGAGTTTTTAATTGCACAATTAAATTGCACTTTTGATATTATTTATTTTTGCATATTATTCCATTGTTTTTTGGCTGTTAGCACCATGTATTTGTACGTAGTATTAGTTATTTTAATACCATGTTATTGTAACATGAAAAACAAAAACACGCATCTACATATCTAATAATTCAAGAAAAAGTAATAAGATATATAATACCAAATAAATATTGAATCTTAATATGTACTATCTATAATAGTTTTGTTTTAACTTTTGGATTTTTTCTTAAACCCTATGAATTTTCTTTAATTAAAATATTTAGTTCAAATTTATATTACTAATTAAAGTATGCAGTAGTTTTTTTTATCTCTTTTCCCAATATATATATATTAATAAATCAATAAAATGGCTAAAAAAAACAGTTTTTTCATTTTTTAAAATTAATTCTTAGAATTAAAAGTATTTCATTTTCTGAAAAATAAGTTACAAAGAAAAATATTTAGTGTTTAGCAATTTTAAGATAAAAATTATCATATTTGCCATCAACATGAATAAATATGCATGCGGCCCTTTGTCAATCAACCAGCTGTGCAAGTGGCCCTTCTTCTAAAAAGGTTGTGCACCCCTATTCTACTAGGAATTTTACTTTTATGAAACAAGTCAAAAAAAATAAATGACCAATTACAAAAACTAACTCTAAGTTTAATTATTTTACTTATTTCTAAAAATTAGAAATAAGAGAAAATAATAAAATTGTAAAATAAGAAAATAGAAATATTTCTCTATTTTTGAAGTTCACTTCGCAAATAATTTCTGTGATTAAATAATGTTTGCATGTGTATCTAAGACTGGTCTAGCATTCCATAGATGCTGAGAATTTTTTTTTCAGACACACAAACTGCATATTCCAAGTTTGGATTAGGATTGCTCTGGCACTTTATCATTAGGAGAAGCATAATTTCTACTTAGATGTTTAAATTTTGGAAGATAATGTTTGGATTTCGGAACGGGAATGAAGAGGCTCTTTCATAGGACCAAATGATAAATTCTATAGGAAGATATTTCGGCATCATGCTTTGTTAGCTGGCTTCGCATGTGCAAAACTTATATATCTTCTGATACACTTTAATTCAGCGACATTAGCTTAAATATGTCTTTAGAAAAAAATTGTGTTATCATTCATATGAAAAAATTTATAATTGAAAAGATAGTTAAATACAACTAATATAAAATGATTTTATTATTTTAAAACAGGAACACATATTCAATACAGAAAATAACTTAAAAAATTAGTGATAGATATAAACATAAAGATGCAATATTAAAAAAGGTACATAAATTATATGGATTTTAAAATACACTGTTACACTTAGAACTGTAACACTTGTTCTCTGTTATACCTATATGCACAATATGCATAGGTAGTACACTACAAAAAACTAATAAATTCTTATTTCATAATAAATGCAATAGTTTAGAGATGATTTTAAAGTTCGGTCGTAATCCATAAAAATCAGAAGAGAAGGAAAAAAAAGAAAAGTTATTTTTGATGTTTACTTCTAAGGTTTTTCAAAATAGTTTTAATATTTTCTGGAGCTTGAAGTAGTTTGGCTTTGATACGAGCTACATGTTCTGATATGTTTGGTTCTTCATAGCAGGCTGGTATATTCAAAAGTTCATCAAAAAGAGGAGACCATATATCATGTGCCTGATACCTTTTAAATCTTTTTTCTATGCACCATCTCCCACTTTCATTTTTCTTTACTTTCATATAATCTTGAAACACTAAAGTATGAATGCAATCTAGTATGCCACACCAATCGAGTTGAAAAACCCATGGTTTGTTTTCAAGAATCTCATAGCATCTATTCCTCACAGGAGTAGTGAAACATACGCCACTTTCAAAAAAAGTTAGATCAATGCTGCGACCAAAATCTATGAATTGAAGAAGACTTGTTCCTTTATCAATGCTTTCCAATTCAAAATTGTCAGAAATACTGCGAACTAGAATATTATCGGGCTTGATATCAGTGTGAACAATTTTGCATTCATGGATTTTAAGCATAATTAGTAGCAATTCCAATGTTAAATATAGAGCCAAGGGTTCTGGGACTAACTTATTATCTTTCTTGAAGGAATTTACTAAATCTAATAAAGTTCCTTGAGGAAAGTATTCAGTCACCAAAATCATACCATCACTGAACTTCTTTGCAGCAAGAATATCCATAGCTGAAAGTCTGACATCAGGAATCAAATTCATGTGAAGTAATCTTTCCTGCAATATGAAACAAATGTACAATTCCCATTCATTACTATGCTTACAAGCCTTAAGTGCTACTTTAGAGGGAAATGAATGATGAAAACCATGCAGTGAAGGTTCTTTGTCTGCAACAAAGACTTTACCATATGCACCTTCAGCAACCATGCTTTCAACTGTGAATTTTTCTTGTTTTACTTCAAATACATCACCTACTTTCAAGAATTTGAACTTTTTTTCAGAAATATCCACTATTCTATGATAATTAGGTGGTTGCTTTAAAGATTGCAATAGCTTTTCTGTTAATTGATTATCAAAAGGATCGTCGACATTTTCATACAATGCTAATTTCAGTTTTTCAACGTTAGCTTCAGAAACTTGAACTGACTTTTTAATATTTGTAATACTATGTTCACTAGTCACAGGTTTAGGTTCCTTAAATGTATCTACCCTGGAGTACTCTTTATGGGTGATGTTGCTTTTTTCATAGCTATGACACTGATCAAACTGACTTAACCTTGTAGCACTGGCTGAGCTGCCAGACGAAGCAGAAGATTTATAACTTTCCTTACTCGATTCCATAATCATACTCAAGTTGTTGATTGGTCTGGTCACAACATTTATTTTTTCAGGACGATAAAATTGTTTTTCAGTAGCAGGATCTACCACACCTTGAGAAGCAGACGCAAGATGTTCTTCCTTAGTATTGCTTATAAGGCACCTATAGTTGTAGGTGTCTTCTGAAATTTGTACTTTAGGTTTTTTATTGTTTTTAGCTGACGTGAAAGGAGTTGATGATATAAATGGTGCTGAAATAAATTGTTCAGTATTACAAGGAGGAAATAAAGTTTCATTCTGCAGTGAACATTTATTAAGTTGAATATCTGCTGGATCTAAGTCAATCTCCTGAATATCTTCTGGATCTATGTCTATCTCCTCAGTCTCTTGAAGCTCCAGCGGAATAAACGTTACATTTTGAGCAGGTGTTAGTATTCCACTCTTTTCCCTTTCTGTTGAGTTTTGAATATAATCTTTAGGAGGTATATTTTCAGCATTTTCATCATTCATCATCTCAGATTCAATTTCAGGAACTGGATTTTTCAAAATGTTCTCTATAGGATCTTCATAAAAGATAAAAGGTAGATTCGATTTAATGGGCAAATTTTCCTTTAATACTTCCATATTATCATTGTTTTGCATGAAATTACCATCTACCTGAAAGAACTTCAAAGGTGATTTTCCTTCATTTGCATTCATTTTAGGATTAGAATCCACCAGGTTAACATTTTGTGCAAAATTATTTTCAGTAGGGTCCTGAAATAATGTAAAAGGTAACTTCATTTGATTTGTACCAGTATTTAGTTGATTGCAATTAATGGAAGAATTGTTGGCTTCAGTGGCCAAAAGATATTCATTCTTTAAAATAGCATCAATAGGGTTAGCAATTGTTCCATTATAAAGTTCTTCAAGCATGTTTGCAGCTTCACGATAACTCGTTGAGTTAGAGCATTTTCCTTGCAAATTTTCTGTGAGATTTTGTGTTGAGAGACCTTCTGATGGCATCTTTTCAAACTGTTGATTCATGCTATCATATTGACTATGAATAGTTTTTAAATTTGAATTATTAAGTGAATCAGGGCAGGAAAAATCAAGTTCACTTTTAACTTTTACATTTTGATTTTCAAAGTTAAAGATGTTTTGAGTGTTCTGCTGAAACTGGGATGAAAGCAAGTCGCTATTCAGGAATTCTTTGTTTTCAGTTACTTCTTTAGATTCAGTGTATATTGAAGATGAAGGATTTTTAGAATTATTGAACAAATTATGATTCTGACATTCACTTTCATCAGCTTTGTTCAGACATGTACTTTGTTGAAAAATTTTTTGTTCCTCTTGATTTTTTTCAATCAGTTTATTATTAGATGTAAACCATGCATTTGCTTTAATTTCTTCAAAAGATAACTCTTCCTTACCTTTATAAAATATATCTCGATCATAAATGGGACGTTTCATGGTATTTACCGGAGAAAACAAAACTCTTTCAGGACTTTCAACTTGATTGATTTGTTTTCCTGAAGGAGTCGCTTGCTTATTTTCATCAGAATAAATAGCAAATCCCAAATCCTTTTTAACTGCAGAGTCATGAGAGTTTTTAGCTGAATTACAACAGTTTCCTTCTGATTCAAATAAATTGTGCTTTTTTAACCAGGCAGCAGCTCTAATTTCCTCCAGTGAAAACTCCTCTGCTCCGCCATACACTTTATTTCTATCATACATAGGCTGTTTCATTGGATCTAGAGGTTCAAACAAAGCCATTTGAGGACTTTTAGAATGGTGGTGCGAACGCAAGACATTTGAAACTTTTGGTATTGGTCTAGGTGTGCTAATGGGTTGAGGTGCTTCATCATGATGAAAATCAAAATTTAAATTTTTGCTTGAAGATGACTGGGTAATAGGCACTGTCTGCTTAACTTTAACTTTATTCCATTTACTAGGCTTTAGTTCATTTTCTTTTGCAGAATTTACATGAAAAATAAAAGGCATACTACCTATTTTTTGGACAGGAAGAGAAGGAGCAGGTGCTTCGTTGCTAAAAATTTTGAATGGCATCTTTGAGCAAGACTCCCACTCATTTTTTGGTGCCGGTTGAGAATGGCCAATGGTCATGGCAGATCGGATTGGTGGCATTACTGTTTCTCCTGTTCTCTGAATAGGAGCAGCTTTTTTATGAGTTTTCAAAATGCTAAAAGCTGAACGGTGATTTTCAGCACCAGGACTTTGTCTAGTTGTTAAATGTTCTGAAATACTTCGTGAAACTCTTATTTCAAAATCAGACAAATATGATTTTAGCTTTTCTATAGGATCAGCATTTCTGTTTACACCTTCACATAATACTTGATTAGCTTTTTTAATATTATCTTGCTGTTCTAGTTTCCAGGACCAAGCAATATAAAAGCTTGCTGTATAGCAGCCAATATTATGACTGAACATGTAATTAAACACTTCAAAAGGTTTGCCAGAAACATTAGCAAACTTTAACCATACAGCAATGAAGCGCTTATCATTACAGTATCTTTTATCATCTTTGAACATAGTTACACATTTTTTAACAAGATCTTCATAATGTCCATCTCTACCACCTTTTAAAAAGTTTTGCTCAATCCAGTTGATATATTCAAACCATACAGAGAGAGGATCATCACCAGAATAGGTACGCAGTTCATTTTCAAAGGCTTGTTGTTGCTGTTGTATGGGATCGTCAGGATGTTCACGCAAAGCAAGTTTTAAAATATCAGGTTTACGTCCATGTTGCAAAGGTTGAATATTTTCTTTGGAAAATTCCCATTCTTCATCCGTGTTGGCGGTAACACTAAGAAAGAAGAAGAAAAAAAAGACAATTATAAAACTCATTCTTAGCTGTAAAACAGTCTACAACACTTATTTTAGAGAGAGAGTTTTTAAGATATTATTTAACAAATATAGAAAACAAGAATATTTAGGCAAACCAGTGACTAAAAAATAGTAAATTAATTTTATAAAAATATTTTTTCAGTAAAAAAAAGTGAAAAATTGAGGAGTACAGAAATGAAGAAAAGGAGCAATAAGGAACTTATTAGTAAAAAATGCACACAAAAAAAGAAACTTATTAATAGAAAAAAATTATTAACAAAAAGTTGCTCCATAACAATAAAAAATAAAGACTTTAAAATGAAAAATATTATTGATTTTAATCTTTTTCAGCAGTTACTTAAAAAATAAATCAACACTGAAAATAACATTTAAAAAAAAAAATCAGCTAAACACTGTGTAAACTGAAGAAAAATAAATAAATAAATAATAAGTTTAAGACATTCTAACAAAATAAATTCTTATATCAAACGGCATCTAAAAATTAAAAAAAAAATTAATAATAATAAACTGAAGAAAAACGGAAGTGAAGTAGAAATTTTCTGGAATGAAAAAAAACAAAAAGGATCTTTGATGTTGAACAGAGGATAAAAAAAAATCCTAATACCTTATTCACTTCTTAATATGCATATTCACAACTATTCCAACTGTCTACTGAACGATAAGACATGAAGATATACAAAATAATAACGGAACTATTTTAACAATCTATGCATACTTGCCAACTTAAAAAAACTGCCATCAGTAAAACTTTTTTGACGAAAAATTTAAGACCATTCGAATTATTTAATAAGTAACAATACACCACAAATGAATAATAAATATATTAATTATAGAATCTATCACATGATTGAATGTTGATGAAGTGAGAACCAAATTTTCATTAAATTTTTTAATTGCACTTGTTAGAAAATGTACAGAAATATCTAATCAACCAACCATTTATCATCTCAAATTCTATTACAATTATTTCAAATTCTATTACAATGATGCTACTTTTTAAAAAAATGTTATATGCAAAATAAAATAGTTCTTTAAGGGTTTTCCTCTAAATCAACAGCAAAAGAGGATGCTGAATTTAAAGAAGCTGAAGTAGCCTTCTTTGCTTTAATTAAAAAATCTTTTTCAAACACTTGTTCGTGACAGATTTTAGAAAATTTGGTTTTTAATATAAGCAGGCTTTCTAAAGTTTTATTAGACATAATTGTTCGCGATTCAGTACGGTTCTTTCTAACCAAACTAAAAATTCTCTCACATTCTGAATTTGAATGTGGTATGAGAAGAATTGACAATACAATGTTTCCCAATTTTTCATACTTAAACATGCCATCCGCACCTTTCATTTGACTTATCATTGACCACTGCACATCAATTGAT